GGCAGCGGGAAGGGACGGGGCACCGTGAATGGTTGATCTGCACTGGGACAGGTAGAGGCTCTTTCTTGTCCTGCATCTGCAACAGAAACGATGGGGGTCCTGGGTGGCTCATATCCCAGTCTGGTGATTGGGGTCTCCATTTGCAGAATGAGGATTAAGTTCCTTCAAAATCCCCATGAGCTGGAAGCACAAAATTATAACATGTCATTTAAATATACGAAAGGATGCAAGGGGCAGATGAAGTGAATGACTCCACCTTCCACCCTTCACCCACCCAGTGGCTCTGATAGCACTCTGCGTTCTGTGATGGAGCAGAGCTTCACAGCCCCAAGCCTCCTTCACCTGAGGGGCCCCACCTTCCCTTCCGCTGGGGGCTGGCGTTGGTGGCAGTGGTAGGACCCCAGCTCCAGCCCTTCCAAGCATCACCAGAAGAAAGTTTGGCTTCATCAGTTCTCTGAAAATTACTTGTTGCATCACTTTTCCAAATCTCATTAAAAGGGGTACTTTGCCATCAGTTATGTCAGAATGTCCTTGAAAACTGACCAAAGTTTTGGGGGCTTCACAGAACAGGTTAGGGCTTGTGTCTCATTTTCCGTAGAGGGTTTGGCAGTCAGTCATGCAATGACTTCCTCCCCCAAACCCCCCAGATAACTTTTGTCCCTGGTGATTCTGTTTTCATTGCTCTCACCCTGCAGTTTTCACATGGGGTCTCAGAAAACAAAATTCCAGCCCAGTGTAGGCAAAGTCACTCTTCTCCAGGTGTGGTTTAGAGGGCCCATACATAGGTGGGGACACCCTGCCCGCCCTGAAGCTGTGGGTACTAACCGACTCGGAAAAGTCCACCTCACAGGTGGCAGGAGGATGAAGGAGACGGGGAATGGCAATGATTCAGTGTCATTGTTATGCACCTACTATATGTCAGGACCCTCATCACACCCCCAGTTCCTGCGGCTGCACGGATAGTGTTCAGATGTCCCTCGGGCCTCTGCCTATCCAGTAGGTACATTGAGTCATGTTTAGGTTCACAGCTCTTGTTTTCTTTGACATTTTGAAACCCTCACATTGACTTCAGCACCTTCTCAGTCTTATTGGGTGGCATTTGAAGGCCTATTAAGTGGGTCTGTGCAGTCTACTTGGAGAGGTTGTTTTGGTGTCTGGGGAGTGGAGACCCTGGGGCTGCAGGTGGTCAAGGGCTGTGGGCACTTCTGCCGTCAGACCCTTGTTTGTTTGGTTGGCTGTCGTTAGTTTTTTTTTTTTCCTACTAAGATAGCAGAGCATCTTTCCAAAATAGTTCCCCAGGTTTTGTCATGTAAGAAGCAGCCAGAACATTCAGTCTGTCAGTACTCGGGGCCCACTGGGGGGTCCCTAATGCTGGGGATACCACAGGTATCCCCAGATACAAAAAACAGATCCCTTCCCTGCAGGATCCCATGTTCTTATGGGGGAGACATTGGTAAGTCTGCAGTATATCTGGCTGTAGGTGTGTGCCGCAGACAAACACCCAGCAGGGACAGAAAGGAGAATCCACTCTGAGGAGGAGAGAGCAAGCCAAGATAGCACTGCAGGTGGAGAACGGCATGAGCAAAGGTCCTGGGGCAGGTGTGTGCCTGCTGTGGTCTGAGTGGTGAATAGGAGAGAAGTGAAACAGCACAGTCAGGGGATGCCAGGCCTTGTCCACCATGGAAGGAGCTTTTAAAAATTGTGGCTACTCATATTAGGAGCCTAGGCTTCCCTGGTGACTCAGTGGTAAGGAATCTGCCTGCCAATCCGGGAGACACAGGAGATATGGGTTTGATCCCTGGATTGGGAAGATCCCCTGGAGGAGGGCGTGGCAGCCTACTCCAGTATGCCCGGAGAATCCCATGGACAGAAGAGCCTGGCAGACAACAGTCCATGGAGTCACAAGGAATTGGACACAACTGAAGCAACAGCACACATGAATTCACACATTAGGAGCCTTGGGCCTGTGTTTTACATATGTTCTCTAATTCTTATAAGTGCCTTGAAAGATAAGACTGGTTATTCCCTTTTATAAATAAGGGGCTTGGACAGTCTAAATGTCCTGAGCAGGAATGCACAGAGTAAACGCTGAGGGGAATCCCACCTGCAGATTCAGGGAAACTCAGTCCGAGTCCTTCTTGGAGAATGCAGGGCAGGGGCAGTGGGTGCCAGAGGCCCTTCTCCCTCCTTGCCTCCCACAGCCTAGGGTCACAAAGCATGGTACAGCGAGGAGGCCCCTGGACGCCCCCAGGGGCCCGGTGCTGCCTTTGGGAAGATTCAAGCTCCTACAGGGTGATTTAGAAGTTTTGGTGGGTCTGACTCTGAGGGCTCACTGATTTGGTTTGTAAAGTTTGCCTATAGATATAAAAGGTATTGGACATTTTCCAACATAAAAAGTAACCTTCATGCATGGTAGGAAGTTTAGAAAGGAGCCTGTGGTGGGGTTTGGCTCCATCCCTCACTGCATACCCTGAGAAGCTCTGAGGGTCCATGAGACGAAGGCCTAAATGTTCCGTGCCTGGCCTCACACGGAGCCGGTGTTTTGTCAGCGGCACTCGGGTTGTTTTTAATGTGTTTATTTTAAGATTTCTAATACTAATAAAAACAGTAAGATTGGGATTACTCGTAACTCTGCGGCCAAGGGAATAGCTTGTCCTGTTCCGCTTCCTGCAGGCTATTGTGGACTGTTCTCCATGTGGGGCTGGCCACGGGGCTCTACTTAAAATAATTAACAGGCACTTTGGGGCAGTGCCTGAATGTAAATCAGAAGAATTTTTGTACAGCTTGTTCTTGGCTTCCTTTTTCCTTTAATTCATTGTGCCAGTCTGTTTTTATTCAGATTGAGGGAGGAGGACTGGAGTCATGGACGCATGGACATCTGTTTCTAGACATTGCCAACTCCCGGCCGGCTGTGAGGCTCCTGGGCCTGGCGCTGTCCACCCCTCCACTCTGGGGGGATTGAGATTCTCATGGAGCAGAGTGTCTTCTGCTGCTCACTCAGCAAAGCAAAAGGGGAATACCTGATTCCCCAGGTCTTGCCGTCATTTTCTTGGCCACAGCTGGTGAAGAAATGAGATGAAAGATGCTCATCTGTGTACTGTGACTTTCAGTGTCCGTGTTTCATGTAGGGCACAGGCACCCCCTCATTGTGCACAGTTGGGGCAGAGGACTTGAACTGGTGTCTGTCTTAGGCTCCAGCTCCCACTTCACCCACGGGCTGTTCTGCATGAGCCCAGAACATCCTAAACACAGTGACCTAGTGACTCACACATGGGTCGATTTTTCACTTTCACAGTTGGAAGGGTGACGTTTGCAGGTGTCCCCTAACTTGGGGCACTCATTCTGAGGTCCTCATGTGCTTAGCTGGGTTCAGCAGTTCCTCCCCCTGGCACCTTCGGGTCACTTGCTGACGCTCTGCAAAGCATCATGACCAGGTGCCACCTGTCTCTGGACCGGCCACGTGCAGCAGGGGTGCCCAGGCTACGGAGCCAGAGAACCTGGGTTTTGGTCCCACCTGGGCTTCCCAGCAGCTCCCCGACCTGGGAAAGTTACTCATGCTCTTTCAGCCTCAATTCTTCCTCTTTACAAAGGGAATACACTAGAAAGTCAGAGAAAATACACTGAGTGCATACCCTGTGACTGGTGCTCTGTGACCACCAGCTGTCGTTGAAACCATTCCCTAACGACCCTACGGCTGCATCTAGTTCCTGCCTCTTACTTAGACGCTCACGTCCAGTTGTCTGTCTTGCAGACTTGGTTTATTTACTGTATTTTGTGTATCATTGCTCCCCCCAGCCTTCCCACCAGGCGGTACGTTAAAAGGAGGGTCCCGAGGTTCACACCAGCCTGTATCCCTGTGTCCCGTGTCCCCCGTCAACTTCTCGCTCTGCTTCTTCCTCTTGTGCATAGTTGAGATAAGAAGGAAGCTGGAGTCTCATGTGCTCTGAGCGTAGCAGCCCAAGATACCCCACAGGTCTCTGTCCTGGAGTGTCACCCCTGTGTTTTTTTAAAAAGCTGAAACCTGCTGATGGTGGAGTGCATCAGGGCTAGAGCTGGGTCCCTCAGAGCGGCTCCAGGCCCAGTCGCCACTGAAATGCAGTGGCTCCCAGAGCCACAGACACGGGTCAAGCCCTCTGCAGCTCCATTATTGTGGTCTGCCTGCAGTTTCACAGTTGGGAAAGCAGGGAGGCAGAGCAGGATGCAGTGGGGAGGTGCAGACCGCGAGCTCTCTTGTGCTGTTGAGTGCCCTCCCTTTGTTGTGAGCCAGCGAGTGGTTGTAATTAATAATAGTGGCAGAGGGTTCCACTATTCCATCTGCATTGGAGGCCTAATTTTGTTTTCTTTGGCTGTCCCGGTGCATGGAGATCAGTGCCTACCCCTTTGTGTTTTGAGGTCCTGCTGTGCCTTCGTGGGCACCTTCTTGGCCCAAAGATGCTGCACTTCCAGGAAGGCAGGCCGGAGACCAGTTCCTGTGCTTTCTCTTTTTGTTGAGCTACATATTGAGATTCTAGTGGATCTCAGAAGGTTGACAACAGCAGGCACCTAAGTCAGATGTTCTGTTTACTAAGGATTTGTTACCCAGGCCCCTGGAAGATGCCTTGTAGGTGCTGACAGAAACTCTCCCCTGTCTTATGCACAGTCCATTCTTGAGTCTTGGAGACTTGTGAGTGGAGCTGTGCTCACCATTCATACTACAGATGAAATGAACAGTGAGCCCTCAAGGCAAGATGACTGAGTGTGAAGAAGCCCAAAGATTCTCTAAATGACCCTTCTCTGTGCATAAAAAGGTAGGGCCTGAAGATGTTTGATTATTCAGATTTCTTTGTGGGCATTTGCTACGCAGGAGTACATGTAGAATTTTTGGATTCTAGAAGAACCTTTGGCCCTGACCATCCTAAGTTATGAATTTATTTGTTTAGACAAAATATGGATGTGTTCCAAGAGCCCAAAGCCCCCTTTCAGTTTGGCTTACAGTCTGTCTCTCGTTTCCTCCCCACCAGTGCTGCACACACAGGGCCCCGTGGACGGCAGTCTTTACGCCAAGGTGAGAAAGAAGAGCGCCTCAGATCCCAGTGTCCCAGGTGGGTCTCCCGCCGTCCCAGCCGCCAGCAGCCCAGACCACAGCGACCACACCCTGTCTGTCAGCAGTGACTCGGGCCACTCCACAGCCTCGGTGAGGACCGATAGGACCGAGGAGCACCTGACTCCAGGACCCAAGAGGGGCCTGAGCCCCCAGGAGAAGGCCGAGCTGGATCAGTTGCTCAGTGGCTTTGGCCTCGAGGATTCTGGAAGCCCCCTCAAGGATATGAGCGATGCTCGCAGCAAGTACAGCGGGACCCGCCATGTTGTACCCGCCCAGGTCCACGTGAACGGAGACACCACCCCCAAGGACCGAGAGACGGACATCCTGGATGACGAGATGCCCAGCCACGACCTGCACAGTGTGGACAGCATCGGGACCCTGTCCTCCTCGGAGGGCCACCAGTCAACCCACCTGAGCCCCTTCACCTGCCACCAGAGCAGCCAGAACTCCCTCCTGTCTGATGGATTCGGCAGCACCGCTGGCGAAGATCAGCATGGCTCTCTGGCCCCAGATCTGGGGCTCGCCGCGGAGCCCCTGTTCGAGCGAGAGCGGGCTTTCGGGAGCCGCGAGCCCAAGCAGCCGCAGCCGGTGCTCAGGAAGCCCTCCGTGCCCACCCAGACGCAGGCCTACGGGCCGAGCAGCTACTCCACGCAGACCTGGGTGCGCCAGCAGCAGATGGTGGCCGCTCACCAGTACAGCTTTGCCCCTGACGGGGAGGCCAGGCTCAGCGGCCGTGGTGCAACCGACAGTTCCAGCCTGCTGCAGACACAGCCTAGGGTCCCGCTCACCCCCACTCGGGGGGCCAGCAGCAGAGTGGCCGTCCAGAGGGGCATAGGCCCTGGGCCACATCCTCCTGATATACAGAGACCCCCTCCCGGCAAAGCAGCCTTCAAACCCAGGATTCCAGATGTCAAAGTCGTGAATGGTACTGGCCCGGAGCTGGGCGCAGACCCGTCCCCAGGCTCACCCACCCTGGACATCGACCAATCCATTGAACAGCTCAACAGGCTGATCTTGGAGCTGGACCCCACGTTTGAGCCCATCCCCACCCACATGAACATGTCGGGCAGCCAGGCCAATGGCCCCATGCCCCCAGAAGGCATGGGAGGCGGGCTGCGGGCAAGTGGCCGCCTGCAGGACACAGAAGGCCCTGGCAGGGCCCCAGTGAGGCAAGGTGAGCTTGAGTTTCATGGGATGCACGCTTGTCTGTGTTTTGCAGAATAAGGTTTTATGGAGGAGCTCTGGGCTCATCACAGAGTCTGAAAGAGGGGAATGAGGACAGCTGGGGCCTTGGGCACAGTCTTGTAAGGATAGGCAAGTGACCACACCATTTAGGTGTGGACGGTGGCCACGAGCTGGCCACCCAGGGAGTGGGGAGGCTGTTCATGGGGCAGCAAGCTTGAGCTAGAGAGAGGGCCGTGGGGTGGGTGGAGGTGGGGAGCGGGAGGAGTGATGGAGGGGTAGGTTCTGGGGAGTCGGGGCCCAGAGGCTTGGTAAGGATCCCAGCCACCACAGCAGGCTGCAGGGCCCAGCGGCAGCCCCAGCACAGCAGGGACGCGGGCCCTGAGGGCGAACCTGTGTGCACCCTGCAGCCTTCAGGGCTCTGCTGCGCAGGAGGCGGGCGCTGTGCAGGCTCTTAGAACGTGGTTTGTGCAGGGCCAGGGCTCCCTGCCCAGCTGCGAGACCTGGGGAGGCTGGCGGTGGCTGTAGTGGACAGAGGTGACCTCTGGGTGTATGGCCGAGTGGATGTGGGAGCAAGCGTTGGGTTCTAGCCTGTGATAGGCTTTCCATGTTGGAGAGGCACAGGCTGTGGGGCCTGGGAGGATGCCCCGCAGGCAGTGGACACTGGGACAGAGTGGGTTAAGGAATACTATGTGAGGCCATCGGGGGAGTGTGTGTATAGAAACTTCCACACAGAGGAGACAGGGCCAAGTCTAGAAGCTTCCACACAGAGGAGACGGGCCAAATCACTTGTCCAAACCTGGGTGCTGCTGAGGTCTGGGGAGGTTTAGGGAGGGATGGAGCTGCAAGGACCCAGGGCTCACCTTGGGGTCGAGAGTGTGGTGACCAGTGAGACCAGGCCTCCCTGTGTTTGCATGTAGGTGTGCATCCACATCTTTGGTGTCAGCTGGTTCCCTAAGGATCCTGCCTCTAAAAGTGAAGATGGGAGGTGGGATGAAGGAAGGATTCTGTAGCTTCCTCTTAGTCCTGAGTCTGACCCCGAGGGCTGAGCCAGGGTCAGTGATGGGGCAGGAGTGCTGCTCTTGCCACTGGGATTGTTCTGGGCCCTTTCATCTCAGGCCCCTTAGCTGCAAGAACAGATCCCGTCTAACAGTTGCCTTTCCAGAGGTGTCAGTACGTGGCCTGCCTAAGGTCTCATAGGTGGTTCGCAGGACTCGGCCCTGTGGCTGCACACAGAAGCCCTGCCTGCTTTGCAGTCAGACAGGGTAGATTTCAGACCCAGCCAGGTCCCAGATGGCTTGGGGAACCTGAGCTTTGCAGACCTTGGTCCTGTCTAGCTGTGCGCTGGCTGACTGTGTGACTTTGGGTTAAGGGTGTAGTTTCTGAATTCCTCTTTGCTCCATCTGCTAAACCCTATCACATACCCAGCTGGCGGAAAGGTGCAGGCAGTGCTGGTCTGCAAGCCCCTGAGGGGTGCCTAGATCATAAGTGTGATGATGCTGTGACATCCTGGCTTCCCTGGTGGCTCGATGCTAAAGAATCCGCCTGCAATGCAGGAGATGCGGGTTCGATCCCTGGGTTGGCAAGAACCCACTCCAGTCTTCTTGCCTGGAGAATCCTGTGGACAGAGAAGCCTGGTGGGCTACAGTCCATGGGATCGCAAAGAGTGGGACACGACTGAAGCAACTGAGCTCGCACGCATGCTGTGACATTCATTTCCTTTCCCTGAGTACCTGGGCCCTTGGATATCAGAAGCTTGGGAGTTGGGAAAAACTGAGAGAGCCTTCTGGGAGTAGGTTATCAGACTTGAATATGTAGCTGTCGGACAACAGTAGTAATTGTAGCAACAAAACAGATGGAAGGATTTGGATATGTGAACTCATTTAGTCAGATACATTCAGGAGATTCTGAGTTTAAAAAAAGTTTCAGTGGGAACAAAGCTATTTGCATCCTGTCTCTTACCTCACCAAACCTACTTAAAAAGGAATTTCTTGGAAAAATTAAAACCAGAAAAATTTTTTTTTTCCTTTCCTGAATTAAAACCTCCTTTGAGATTTGGAAGAGGTTGGGGGCGGCCGAGTGTATGGAAGAGGGAAGGATTCTAAGCCCAGGTTACCGTCTGACAGCTCCGTTTAGCTCACTTGTTTTCCAGTGGATGGAACATAGCCCTCGATTACTCTTCTGTCTTTTTAACAGTAGAACACAGAGCCTGGGGTTTTAGAAAGTCCCTTCATCCCCTCCATCCTTTAGTTAGCTGTACTTAAATTACTTGATAAACTCATCATTGTAGTTCCTGGAATTTTAATTTTGATTTTAGATCTTCTCTATTCCCTGGTCTTATAAAGTAATGACATTTTTAAAATGAAGGGACTTGAATACTTCAACAGACCTGTAAAATTTCAGCTAATGTTAGGTTATTAATTATGCAAATTCAGTTAAGAGTGTTTATTAATCCATTCATGTTTGTTAGGAATCTTGGGTATTTGTCACTTTTCTTGTGTACTTGTAAAACTATGGTGATGTCAGGGGATGAGGTATAAATAAACATGGACACTAATCTTCAGAGACCTTCCTGAAATTTGGGCATGAGCTTCTGGTAGGACCCCTGAGCAGTGATGAATACCCACCAGCTGGGCAGCTTGCAGCTCGCAGCATGAGGACTGGCCTTCTAACTTGGAGTTCAGGTTTCAGTTTCAGAGCGAGCTCCTGTTTGAGGACAGTGCCAAGCCGGGAAATGCAGAGCCTTGGAGACTCACACCACATTGATGAAAAGGATCTGGACAGTGTAGAGGGTTCTTGGAACAGTCTGCAGGCGGATTTCTGGCTCTCATTCTGGGACGTCTTGTCTTGCTAGAAATCCCATCTAAAGAATATGCATGTCTCTAGCTTTCAGCCATTTGAATTGAGATGGAGAGAGAACTTTCTTCTCTCCCTGGCTGGTGTAGAGGACACTGGAACCCATTTAATTTTAATATCAAAGTGTCATCTGAGTATTTACATCTTCCAATTGCAAAAAAGCTAGACCAGCCAGCAATGATAAAAAAATCACTAGATGGCAAGGAGAGTCAGCTAATCAACTGATGCTGAGTTGTGGAACCTTTCAGAAGGTTTGGGGATGCTGGATCCCTGTGCTTTGAAGATGTTCAGATCCCCATCGCACACTTCCATCCTCTGGATGGGGGAGTCCAGGGCTGCCAAGCTGAGTTGGTCCACATGTGGTTCTTGGCTCTACCACGCTGAGTAGGAAGGGGACATTGAGTCTGGAAGGCGCCGTGATATTTGCAGGACAATGGCTTTTATCCCACAGATGCATTGTCCCATGTCTGTGTGCCTGAGGCTCAGCCCTATTGATGTGGGTCAGTATCTGACCAGAGCAGCCCCAAGTCTTGCACACAAATGGGAAATAGGCTGGAAAGTTCTATGAAGCTGTATTTCCTACATGAGACCCTCCTTGGCCTGCCTTGCATCTTGCCCCCAGATGCTGACTGCTGCACGGTGTGTCTTAATTCTGGCTGTAGAAAAAGGTTTGTCACAGAGACTTTAGCATCCTGAAGCCAGTGAAATCCTTCACTCTTTGCCGAGTGTGTCCTGATTATGAGAAAGACCACAAGTTACCTGGTGGTAGGGAGTTGGGGGTGGTATTACCTGCAGCTCCTCCTGGGGCTTGCTGCGTGTCCTGCACAGCTCACATTGCACCAGCTCTTCAGGCAGCAAGCAGCATGTCTACCAGGGCTCTGGTTATTTCTGAGATGACAATTATATGCGATGGCCAAGTATTTTCTGAGAAAGTCTACCTGCAATCAGCACAATAATAATAATGGTGAGGATGGTGGTGGTGGTAGGGTTAATGATGATAGTGATGGTGATGGTGATGATAGTGATGGAGGTGAGGGTGACGATGGTGATGGTGGTGAGGGTGATGGTGATGGTGGTGGTGATGGTGATGGTAATGATAGTGATGGAGGTGAGGGTGATGATGGTGATAGTGGGGGGGTGGTGATGGTGATGGTAATGATAGTGATGGTGATGGTGATGATAGTGATGGTGGTGAGGGTGACGATGGTGATGATGGTGAGGGTGATGATGGTGGTGGTGATGGTGATGGTAATGATAGTGATGGTGGTGAGGGTGGTGATGGTAAGGTGATAGTGAGCACTGCCACTCAGCACGTCCCTGTTCTTGGCGCTCTGTTATTCCCAATGAATAAACAGGCTTCCCTAGAAGCTCAGCTGGTAAAGAACCCGCTTGCAATGCAGGAGACCCCAGTTTGATTCCTGGGTCAGGAAGATCCCCTGGAGAAGGGTTAGGCTACCCACTCCAGTATTCTGGCCTGGAGAATTCCACAGACAGAGGAGTCTGGCAGGCTACATGGGGTCACAGAGTTGGACACGACTGAGCGACTTTCATATTCATAGTGTATAAACAGCCTCCATCTGTCTCACTCTGCATCCTATGGCTGAGACCTAATTCCACTAAACTCAAATTCTGCTCCCAGTTCAAAAACCCCTGGAGGGCCGTGCCAGTGACTTCTTTTGTTTCCTGGCATGTAGTAATGTTTGTAAATAGAGCAGATGTGGTGCTGGTGGAAGTGTAGGTAACCCTCTAAGAACTCATGTGTCTTCGCTGAATTGGCTTGGAGAACTTAGCGAGATTCATCATGGACCGTGTAGGAAGTCGGTCCTGGCCCATGAGACAAGAGAAAGGCCCTACAGTGGTGGAATCTCAGAAGGCCTTGGGCGGCCTTGTAAAATGGGGTGAAGTGTGGAGGCATTTTGTTCCGTGCAGGTGCTCAGCGCCTCTGTGGTTCCCCTGCTCTGAGCGGACACCAGACTGTGCTTCAGCCACAGCCATCTGGGCGCTGCTGGGGCCTCGTGTTGCCCCACCCCCGAGGTCGCCCAGCTGCATTGCATCCCTGTTCAAAGGTGGGTTTCTTAGATCACATCCTTTAAGTGAGGGGAGATTTCAACTGATAATACCAAGTAACAAAAGGAA